TTAAGAAACAACCCACTGTTAGAAAGCTGAATGGCTACGCTTTAAAATGAATGTAAACTTTAACGTTTTCGTCTATTATTTGTTTAGCAATTTACATTTCAGTCGAGGATTGCGCTTTTTTTTATACACCCTGTATATTGCATGAAATTTAAGATTTCCAGCAACAAAAGGTATACTGATAGGTATAGGCAAATTAAATTCGTGCCTCCCCTCCCTAAAGGCGAATATACAATGGATGTTGCTTGTTGGTTTTTATCTATATCTGTTGTACTCATACCAGATAGCATTATTGTTTTGGGGCTTAGAGTCGAGGTTTGGCGATTTTGAGTTTTAAAAAGCTAACCTTAATTGAATTATAGTTGTACCTGCACTACACTCTGTCTATATTACATGTAGATGAGCCTCAATTAGGCCTACTCTGGGGCGGTAAATCGCCTTAAATCGCTGCGATATAATGCGATTTTGGGCGATTTTAGGCGATTTAAGGAAAAACTAGGACTTTCAAGCACTGCGATTTAATGCGATTTTAGGCGATTTAGGAAAAATTTTAAAATTTTAGGGATTGCAATTTAGTTGTTTTCAAAGGAATTGAATTTTATATTTTGCTTCGGTTTCCTCCCACAAGGCAAAATTGGCAGGGTGGGTTAGGATAAACACAGTTAGGATAGTAATATGATCATATTCTCATTGTTGTAAAGATAAATAGTCTAGCTAACATAAGTAATCATAGTACTTGATGTAATCGGTCACTGAAAAGCCCCAATGTGGGGAGTGAGCTAAATAATAATGTAATGTTTCCACACACATATGCATTGTATGAAGCAAAATACAATTATTAGAACATGTATGTACATTTTACATAAAGCTAGGTTAACTAATTATTGTATTTAACCTGATTTACATATAAAGCTCAATATTCATGAACTTTTCATCCATTCTCTATTTAGAAGCCATTGGGGTTCATCTTGTGGGGGTCATGTGGTCATTCATGGCTACATTATATACCACAAATGTTGTAAACAGTTAATATACTCTACTTAAGGGGCATGCACTACACATGTCTTAAACTTTAATATCATTAATTTATGTCGAGTTAAAATTGCAAAATATAATATTTGATTTCCAAAAAACCCACAAGAGAAACACACAATGTATTTATACAGTATAACTGATTACTGAATAAGCTATAATCCTATAAATTACCTTGTCACCCTTGTAAGTGAAATTATCTTGTTTTGTATCATGTCAAAATTTCTTTATTTAGCTTGCATTTTATTTAAATTGTTTCAATCTTGTGCTTTCTTCATGCTACAAACATGTTTTATAAAAATTTTGATATCTATATCATATCCCAGTGCCATATCCTCTGTGGCCATATCCAGAAACAGTATCGTCACGCATTCGGAAACTGTCGGCGTAATGCCGTAATGTTTAAATTACATGAAGTATATCGTATATAAATGGTAGGAATTCTAATTTCTATATTATTTTAAAATTAAAAACAAAATAATACAGTATTAAACAAATGGCGCACTACACCGTGGTTTTAGGTTCTGCAAACAAACAACAACAAAAGATCTATTGTATGGTATGTACGATGTAATCATTGTTTAATTTACTGTTTATTGTATATACAGGTCTGGGAAATTAAATAGATGAGAGTTGCGAATCGCTCATAACCTCACGTATATTTTTCGTTTGATAGCCACTATAATTATAACTAGGAGCTAGAGTATAACCATGCACATGTCGAAGTACAACCATTGTATACAACGCAGTGCTCGATCTTACATGCAACAGTGCATAAATTACACGATGACTTTATTATATAAATCAACACTCGTACTCATTGACTTTCCTAGTCTCCTACTGCTGTTCTAATTAACAGCAATTAGGCTTTGAGAAGCCATGTAGATTATAGATTAGCCCAGCCTCCATAGTCCATATAAATTGTAGCCCAGCCTCCATTTACACCAATAATGAAATTAACTGGTAACTAGCTCAATTTTGTTGCTGGTAGTGTATGGGATCTATGAGTCTTTTAGATCCCAGAATTACCTAATTATTGTAAAGTCTGCATAAAGCAGAAAAAGGCTCTGTTTTTGTCAATGACCGGTGTCTATTGAGTGACCAAATATTGTCAGGCTAATCCACTTATTCGATTGCTAATTCATGGTTGCATTACTTTTGATTGCAAAGCACCTGGATTACATGATTTGCCCTTTAAAATAGCAGCAATTGATAAACTTGAGTACATGGACTGAATGTATCAAACAGAATGCATGTTGGCGATTTTAAGCGATTTTAGGCGATTTAAGAGAAATTCGACAATTTTAACCCGCGATTTAATGCGATTTTAGGCGATTTAAAGCGATTTAAGGCGATTTACCGCCCCAGAGTAGGCCTTCAATTCATCCCGTGAGTAACGCCGGAATTAAAATGAATTAAAATACGACTTACTTTTGTAGTTCATCATTTTCGTCCAGTTTTGCTCGTTGAGCTAAGCCTTGTGTCCATGCATAAATACTTGCAATAGGGTTTGTACTTGTTTCATTGCCCTGCAATACAAAACATTAAAATGTACAACTTTTCTGTATGGACAAAATTTATTGGTACTACATGCAGTACCTGCATTGCGGTCAGGGCTACTCAGTGACTGCGGACAGGCATGTGTTGTGCGAAAAGCATTGCCGGATCTTGAGGAGATTGTTTTTGCACCTCCTCTGAGATTTTTGCACCTCCTTTGAAAATTCATGCACCTCCCCTTGAAAAAAGTCAAATGATAGATAAGAATCAAAGTTTGACTCAACAGTTAACAGTTAACTTTCATGTTTGTTACTACATTTTTATGTGTTGCTTGGGGTGTAGTAACAAAGTTGGTATCAAGTTCTTTTATTAATTCAAAAATTGAAATAGTGATACTGTACTTATTCATCTCTGATGCAATTTCAGCAAGAAGTAGAGTTTTAGCGAGGGACGAAATTGGACGAGTACAGTCATAAATCACAACAGTACGTACATGCATATGTCATGTCGTTGACTTCAAGGGGTTGTCCAGACTGCCGCACCTCCCTAAAATTTTTCCACCCTCGCCGAACATTTCCACAAAAATCAGACAAGGTGTATAATATTTCAATACCTTTTGATGTTCTCTGTAATGTCTTGTGACAGTACCATGAGCAGCCTCAGCCTCGATGGTCTTACCATCTGCGCATACCAACACACTGGTCATCAAACCAAGTGAACCATAACCTAAAACATCATGAGGATTGTTATTTAGGAATTACAGGATCATACTAACAGTACTTAATACTTTACTTTACTTAATGATAATCGCAGCAATATATACCGATCTAAGAATTGGGTTGGAGATCGGTGAAGATGTTATGTAAATATTATATCTCAAATTGAAAATGACTTAGCAAGCTTACAGCTGCATGTATACCCAAATTAGTAGGTTATAGACGCTCCGCTCCGCATTCGGCGATATATTATTCTCAGTGATGATATTTCCTAAATATATATATGGGACGTCGCCTTCGGAAAATATTATCACTTCGGATAAAATTTCACCGAATCCGGAGCGACGGGCATATATAGGTTTAATAGGCATTTTCTAAATGGGCTTTAAAAAGCACATCACAGCACATGATCAATAAATATACTACCAACCTTGGGCAAGGGTATCTGACTGGACATCTCCATCGTAATTCTTGGCTGCCCAGACAAATCCACCAGGAGACTTCATGGCATAAGCAACCTCAAAAAAACACAAGACAATTACTGTAGTATAATTTAAACCACCACAAATGAATGACATATGCCCCAGGTGAATCAATAAACAAGCAGTATATTCCAGTTAATGCATAAGTACTACTTTCGTATATCCTAACTACAGTATATGCAACCATACGCATTACGGCCGAGTAGGAGTAATAGTAAACTTAAGCAATGCTCAGTGCAGTATACGGAGATGCCACGAAAAGTCCGTCTTTATCGTTTCGAAAGTTTCGATTTGTTTCTCTTCACAGTTTTGACGTTGTAATACAAAAAAGCTGTTAATTTATCGTCACGTCCCCGTACTGGATCAAGCAGACAGTACATAAATAAGGCCGCGGTACTGTAGCTACTGTACGAGACGGTAATTTGTCATTGAATATAATCGAACCGACTTGACCGCGTACATAGCTCAGTAGGAAGAGCATTGGACCAGCAAACCAAAAGTCGCGGGTTCGATTCGAACCGCGGTCAAGCAAACTTTCCAGCTTGCCCGGTGTGGACACACTCAGAGACAACGGGCGGTGCAGAATACCCGTCGTCCACTTTTGAAGACCCGCTAGAACTATCGGTGGCTACGTGGCTACGCAGTGAGTTTTTGAAAGAACGAGGCAATTGATATAATGACGTAATTGTAAGGAAGGTATTTTTTAGTGTCTACGTGGCTACGCAGTGAGTTTTTAAAAGAACGAGACATTGATATAATGACGTAATGGGAAGGAAGGTATATTTTTTAGTGGCTACGCAGTGAGTTTTTAAAAGAACGAGACATTGATATAATGACGTAATGGGAAGGTATTTTTTTTTAGTGGCCACGTGGCTATGCAGTGGTATAATTTGGTGTAAAATTACCAAAAGAGAGGTATTTCCGTTATATTCCTTGATATTGTAATTTGATAGCGCGTGACTGCGTAGCCGCGTAGCCACTGAAAATGTAGCTACGCAGTGAAAAATGACTAGTGGACGGGTATTCTACAATTTAGCCAA